ACCTTCATGTATGATATTATGTTATATCATGACCCACATGTACAACATTATGTTGCATCATATAAATCACATGAACAACATTATTTTCTTCCAAAAATGTTGCTATTATGATTTACTATACAAGGGATTAGATCAATTTTTTATATTGTCCCAAAACATAATTATATTTCACATTGACCTGCTCCCTCTGACCGAAAAATAGTAATTGCAAATGAATTGATTTTTCACAAATTGAAAGTCACTATAAAATTATTTGTTTGTTTAAATATTGAGAAGGCATTTTAGAAAAAGAAATAAGGAAAATGTAAATTGTATTCTGGGGTCAATCAGAGAATGATGATGTCAATGAAAGTTGACCTTCACATAGTCACTGTTAGTAACAAAAATATTTATCAAAAGCCGTGTGTGCAGTTCAGAATTCACCTTAAAAGGGGAAGGTCTCAAATTTAATTCATCATTCTTGGGTACAAAAGTTCAAACCTATCATTACTCAATGATATTTGTATCTGGTTCAGAACTTGATATTCAATGATCTGTGATTTAATAGTGTGTAGGTCAGCTGTAGATAAGAGATATATGCCACTGTGTAGGTGGAACTGTGTAGGTGGAGTATATATGTTGCTGGCTGCTGGATGATTAATCATCTTCCATAGATTGTTAGATTGAGAATCCAAAAGATTTATCAAGAGGAAATTTATTTTATATAATACAATATTTTAGATAAAAATTATGAAATCTTTTGAACAGAGTTCTGATTGAGATCATTAAATGATGGTGAAATTTCAACCAATCTGATGTGCGCATATGATGTAACTATATCTTCTTTATTATTACACCTTGTGGTACAGAACCATCAACTTGTGACGTCAGCTGTGTCACTTTTCTGGAATAATAACAGACACTGAAATATATTTCACCTGGTTGGATGGACTTTGACAGTCACAATATTTTCTGTAATTTACTTAGATCATTGAATTACTTCTGCATGTATCTGACTCCCATGACATATTTTCTCTTATGGTCTCTCACGTAGAGAAGAGCCATCTATTAGATATTACTATGTTTGTTATGTTATAAAAGCTGTTCATGAAACATTGGTATCAAGGCCAAAGAAGCAAAATAGAATATTTAACTGAATTCATCAGAACTTCTGTTGATTATTTTTTGCAAATATGTAAGGAGCATCGCCATCGCGTAAAAGAAAACAAACCTGTTTAGTAACCCAAAAGAATAACTTAATAAATGTCAACCCCCTCGCCTTTAAGAAATCAATATAGAAACACATAACTTCTCTTTCTACCAAGCTATATTTTTTACCCATTTTGTACCTATTTCTGATCCTGGTGTAAAAGGGTAGTAGGTCCTATCAAATTATGGTCCTACTCTCCATTGATTTATATGGTGACCTAAATACAACTCTTTCCCTCATTATCTTATACGCAATCAGGGCCGTTAAGAAAGGCGACCATAATCCCTGGGGGACCATCATTTCTTTCACACCGGTGTAAAAGGCTAGGAGGTCCTATTAATTTATGGTCCTACTCTCCATTGATTTATATGGTGACCTTTTTCTCTTATTATCTTATACACAATCAGGACCAGTAAGGGCCTTTAAAAAGGGGGACTATAATCCAAGGGGGACCATAATTTCTTTCACACCGGGTTTCTGATCCAAATAGTGAACATTTAAATGCTTGCTTCCTACCTACATTTGTTAGATTATACCTATTAACCTAACTTATATAACATGATAACAATGTGGGAGGGGGAGAACAATTAATGATTGATTAGGTCTATTTTTACGAGCAAGTCTATTTCTATTACTTAATAGTTAATGAGTTCGGTTACAGTTGAATTTAATTGCATGAAATATACGTTCAAGTATGTCAGTCTCACGCGGTACTAACTTCGACCGTTAATTTGAATTTTAGACCTACCAGGCTACCAGATGTTTGAAAATCGAGGATTGTGGGTCTCATACTGCACCGTTTTCCTTCAAACTTGTTCCATTCAAAGCTCAACGAAAACGGCTTTCTGTTGGTACATTAACTTGTTATACACAGTCTCTCCTTTTAGCGGTGTTTGGGTCCCCAGTTGTTCAAAGCGCTTCTCGAAATAAAAAAGAAACACAGGGAAATGATATTAAGACGCATGAATACGACTCGATTCGTATTTCAAAGCGTTGTTAACTTACTTAAATCCTTGTTGATTAACACTACTGTGAGTCCTAAGATGGTTTCCATATGAAGATTGAATGAGCATTTTAGTCTGCCGCAATTTCTGACCTTGAAAAATCAACTTGCTAATCGTGTTACTCTGATATATATTCTGCCATAAATCATAAATCAAATAGCACGAACATTATGAAAGTTTATTGAGATGTTTTCTAATCAATTAAACCAATTAACAAAAGATCAATGTTATGATCGTGATTGTTAAATTGATGTTCTAGCCTGCCATATCTGTCTGTTGTAGTTATTATTATGAGCATGTTTTTGTTCTACACTGATTTGCTCTATAGGGACTTGGACGATGGACAGGGACGGAAAACTAAGGGACTTTGCTTGATAGAACTTACCGAATTACCTAGATTCACTGGTCAGTACTAGGAGACGGTCATGACCGTTACATTCTCTTTCAAAATGGCGGACGGTAAGTGTCGGTTTCGATATTTTTTTGTTTTCGTCAAATTAAACTGCTTTGTCGTTACCATTTGGTTTCGAAATTTCGACCATATCCAGTCTGTTTGGCTTGGAAACTCCATAGTCCGTACTCTAATAAATAATTCCGTATCATATGTGAACGTCACGATCCAACGACATATTCTACCGCGCCGCTTAGGCTACAGTGCATGATGCGATGGTGAACTAAGAATTCACAAATACGGCTAAGCGAAAGAAGATAGTTGCATCGTTGCGTCAATACGTGATATGGGTACAATTAATTATCTCGCGGAGTTTCGATGTCATACAAAGTTGGTTTGGTCGAAATTTCAAAGCAGAATGTCAACAGCCAATTGGTTTAATTCGATGAAAACCAAAACTATCAAAATCTGCATTTACCGTCCCCGGGCAATGTCGGCAATGTACAATGTTTGAAGGGAAAACGCATTAGCAATTTAAGGATTATTAATTATTACATGCCAGGATTGATTTTAATAAATCATTTAATGTCCAATAATATAATCAATTAATTAAAAATTTCCAGGTCCTTAATCAAGGACAAAATGCAGGTATCAGTAGGATTGATGGTCGTCTTGCTAACACTTGGTGCACAAGATGTAAATGGTAATAACGGAAGGAAAAAGTTGGCAAAGCTATTAAGTAAGAAATGCCATCAGAAATATTTGCCGTCTGATGTAACCGCCTTGATGACGCAGGAGCAGGTACGAACAGGTAGATAAATTACAATTATTCTGTTACGTTATTTTGAATTGAATTGTTTCAAATTATTTAAACCAAGAAACTCGGTGTAGTCAATACTTAATCAAGTGCCATGACTATTGTAATTGCGCAAATCGTGTCAGATTCTAAGCATTTGTTTTTAACAATGATTATGGTCACAATATATTATACCCAATTAAAATTGAATCAAAACTGTGAAGTACATGTACAGGGTGTACAAAGAGAAAAAATAGAATAGATCTATAAGTGTGGAGGGAATATTCTGACAATTTAATAATCTGAAAGATTTTAGGTTTCACTTGTGGACAAATGGTTTTGAAGAAAAGCTTGTTTGATCGTAGAGAGACAAACATGGAAGAACTCTGCGAGTGATAAGGGAATATTCTCAAAATTCAGTCATCTGACGACAATCTATTTATGATTAACTTTTGAAAGTGTTACTAAGGAATTATTTTTAATGTCATCTAAAACTCATTGACGGGAGTTACTTACATTCAATTTGGGTACATTTTGGGGACACTCTGTACTTTATATCAAGAGAATGTGGAAAGAAACATGGATACTTTGAACATGTGAATTATTTCTTGGTACAATATAATATTGATATCAGAAACTTTCAAATTGACAAAGGGGTTATTAACTTATCCTCGAAATGAAATCCATGCAAGTATTCATTCTCTCAATAGGCCTAACATATATTCATTTATTTGAAGGTCAAGGATGTTGTTATGGTGAAGCTATTGGGGTCTAGTACACAAAGGACAAGGATGTACCTCACCAAAGTATATTCTATCCTCGTCAAAGATGGCATTAGACACATTGCTTTGAAGGTACCTTAGACATTCTCTCTCAACACACGGCAGTTTGTGAGATTTCACTACCAGTAATTTAGAGACGTTATAGATTATATTGATTGCGCAAGGTCATGTACGTTACAACTTATCCTTGTCATTTTGTAGATTAAAATAGACAAGGGACCAACTCCAGAACTTGGTAGATACATCCATGTATATTTGGAAGATGGAACTGTAACCAATTTGGATGTTGGTATCAAGCGAAAGTCTTGTTTCAGTGCATTTTAAAAAACAGACAGTTTAAAATATTTGATATAACTGGGATTATTTTGCTGCTTTTATGTCTCCATAGAACAGATACATTTGTACAAAGTTATAACGAAGTTAGCATTATGTTTTTGCGTATAAGCTATATAACTAATTGAAACTTTACATTTCGCTAAAAGATGTACTTATGTGTATGTATTATCGATCATTTTTAGTATTCTTTTCACAGAAAATGAATAGTTTTCTTCTCTAAATTCCTTGTGTGTAATGTGGATTGGAAAATAATTATGACTTCATGCAAAAGTATCACAATGATTCTCTTCCAATAACTATGTCTAAGGAGATGAGGAAATAAACAACATTTTATAAGCGACGTTCCCTTATAAACGGATGGAGCTGTGCGGCAAATGATGTGCGTAGTAGTAGACGTAATTTTCTGGATTAGAAAACAGTTCGAAATGGTTGTTTTCATTTTTCCAATTTATTCATTAATAATATTGTTGTTTACATTTTCAAAATAAATTGGAACGATGCCATTGAAATATAGCAAATTTACTCACTTCGAGAGCCATGTTAGATTTTGAAAATCCAAATAGCTTTCGCAGGAAGTAATAGCAAATAACATATCATCAGTCTTCTACACATAGTGATATTCAGTAATAAATTTCGTTTCAGGATCATCAGTTCAATCTCAAGTAAGAACATTTACAAATTGGCTCTTTAAGATATCCTTTGAATGTTAATTTTTCGATTGTTATTTGCATTGCCTATGGTTGCAATGCTTTCACGATGTGCTGTATCTAACTGTCCTTCATGTCCCATGCACAAACCCGATTTGAAGGCCATTTTGAAATTCTTATGTCTAAAGGCATAAATCATGGGGTTGATTGCGCTGTTGAGTAATCCAAGGAACGTACTATATTCTCTCGCGGATTCCCAGGTTGGGTTTGTCATCATGTCGAAGTACATCTGGGCATGGAGGGATATTAGAAACGGACCCCAGGATGCGATAAAGCAGCCAAATACGATGAAAGTTGTCCCTAATAATTTGATATGACGCATTTTTGGTTTTGACATGATATTTTCATTGTTGACGTCGGGTAGAACAACAATCGGCCGTGACTTTAAAAATCGATGGACATCATAAAATATACGAATGTACATTAAAATCATCGTCCCCAATAGTATGAAGAAAAAAACAGTGCACAATATTTTCAAATATGGCAGTTCTAACACCTGCACAAAAGTGCACTGCTTATTCTCAAATACATTTGTGAATTCATCGTATGTGCGGTGGTAAAACAGTGGTAAAACGATTGTATACATAAAGGGCAATCCCCAAATCGATCCAGCAAGGAGATACGCGTTCTTCCTAGTCATAATGGCTTTGTACCGAAGAGGAACTACGATGGCTATGTAACGGTCTACTGTTATTCCGAAGAGGCTCAACAAGGAAGCACATACAGAGAGCATGAGAAGCATATACCTCAAGAGACATACATAGATCGATGAGGCCAACATAGTTGGGTAAATGTACATCGCCACGTGAAGGGGCATCATGATCCCGACACAGAAATCAGCGATCGCCAAGTTAACAATGAAGAAATTTGCGACAGTCCGCAGTGCTTTGAATCTGACGTAAGATGTGATAACGAGGCCATTCCCGAAACATATGATGATTCCTAGCAGGATTTCCACACATATCTTAATGATTTCTCCATTTGCATCGTTGTTTTTGATTGTTGAATTACGAGACGATTGTGATGACGTAACGTCCATATTAAATGTATTAAGCATCTTCAAAACACCATCTTGACAGCTGCCATTAGGGTTGCTTTTTGTGAAGGATTCCATATTTCGTATTCTCTTTTCAAGTGTTTCACAGAGTTAGCAAATATATTCCACTCTTTGCTAATATTTAATCATTTATATCATAAAATAAAGTAAATACGCTACACGTATTTATTAAAGAGGATCCTTACTTTTCACACATAATTATTAATGAACAAAATGCCGAATAGAATGTTTTTATCTGACCTATATGTCAATGGTATCACAATAATATTTGATCAGCGTGCAATCCTTTTGAATTTCCATACGATTGTAATGAAAACAAGTCAATAACATGCTTTTATTAGTTTATTTGACATATATTCACTTTGTTTTTATTTACTTAATGGTGAGATCACAGGGGGCAACATTTAGAAACTAATAGGGAAAACACATCTAACTATTTTTCAACTCTTTGAACGGGTTTCAAATTATATCTACAGTCTGGAAATCCTACTAATGGAGGTTAATGGAGAAACTGCATGTTTGAGTTTCATTAACAATCTTAACATTTTATATCATCTATTTGAAGGTGTTGAGAATTTCAGGATGTCATTACAAGCGTAGGCTTAGTACAAAACCATTGTATCTATTCAATTAACTACGCCAATGCCGTCTTACATCAACAAATAAAAAGATAAATTGCTTTAATAATGGTTAAATGGTGTTGATGGTGAATGTGGTAGAATCTCAGCAGCAGAATGGCTAGAGAAATATATAAAAACAAAAGGTTGACAACAACTAGACCACACAATGTTCCATGTAAGCTCAGATGGACGGGGAGTATACAACAGGAGGTGCTTACTCGACCTCACTCATATATTCAAGCATGTCCTCGTTCAAAGTCCCCCATTTGCATCTCATTCCAATCCCTAGCCCAACATAAATCATGTAGCGAAGCATTGTGGATGATTATTGCTTGAATACGTGGACGCTACATTTTCATATTTCATTGACATACATTGTATGGATTAATTCCAACTTTTCCAAAACGCCTATCACGGGACGCCTATGTTGTACAGAAACTAAACTAGAACTTATAACTTATACGTCAGTGCGTTTTAAAAGCAAGAACAGCAATTAAAAATATTTGAACATACTTTTGATTTTACTGATTTTATTTCTACATTGAACAGTACATTATAGTACAGTACTTAGTGCATGCCAAGTTATTAAAATTGCAATTTTGTTATGTTTAAGAGTAAAATAAACATAAGACTTCAATTACACAAATTGAAATACGTTTAATGTTATCGTCATTCCCAATCATCTTTTGGACTCATCCACCAATCAGGTTGACGAACATCAAGATACAATACTACTAGCGGTAAATATCACCCTTTACTTCCATTCGCTCGTGTACCTTTTTATTAATACAAAACGATCTCAATATCAATGTGTTTATCACTTAACAGTAAAAAGAAGACACATCACTTTTTCAAAGTTTAACAAGAATGCACAAAATATGTTATTGATGTATATGATGCATAGATGTTCCATGAAGTAATTTGCTGTAATTGGTCATAATTTATGGACCCATAACGTAAAATTGTGTGCATGTATTGCAATCTCAGACACCATCTTTCCTCGAACTCCATATAAGTCTATGATCATTACGATATTATTAAAATTAGCAGCTTAATTCAAATACAACAGTACCTGAAATAAAATGAGATTTTTTAACAATTTTCAACTTATTTGAACCCATTGCATTTGGTCAAACATAGATTATAACTTATTGACATCTTTGAACAGAAAAGTCAAGATTATATTTTTACAATATTTACATCACTTAGACTATACAACTATTGTACGATACCTAGGCTATAAATTTCAGTTATTGTATGCTACCTAAGCTATAAAACTGTTGTACGATACCTACTAGCCTTGCCCAAGTCGGTGTCTTACTTATCTTCTATTATGATCGAGATAGACGTCCTTGGCCTAAGTAAACCGACTTGGGCTGACTTGGGCAAGGCTAGATACCTACTGTGGGGTATACATTTTTAGTATTGTATCTTACCTAGGCTATACAACAGTTGGATACCTAGGGTATGGATTTCAACTTTGTATGATACTTAGGCTATACAATTGTTACTCGATTCCTAGGGTGCAAATTTCTATTATTGTATGTTACCTAGGGAATACAACTCTTGAATTTTAGCTTCTACATGATATACACCTAAAACTGAGACTATTTACCATGTCTTGATAATGACACGGACGTTTCTTCACATCTATCATGGTCAAGATCATAGGTTCTGGGCCGATATAAAGATGGCAGCACCACCAGAGCCCAGTATTATCTTTTTTCATGCCATCTTTATTTTAAAATTGTTTCTATCGACCTAAGTAGCCTATGGTCTACAGGTCTAGATGATACAACTGAGGTAGAAATAAATACATTTTGGCTGATGCATAAACAGTATTTGATTATTGGTAGAAGTTGGTCGTTCTGACTGTGTTCTCTGTTTAACTTTAAAGATAGCTTTCGATAACCTATACATGCGAACGTAAATCATATATAGCAAAATAAGTAATTTTAATACATATAATTGTCACAATACACCTGATTTTAGAAGAATATATAAGATATTGAAAAAGTTGACTACCTTAAAGGTATATTAAATACAGTTGAAATGTACTTATAATGTATTATAATAACAATGATATAATGAGTCTACTATTTCACTGAGGCATATATGATTGGATTTGATCCATGTATCTAGCATTCCTTAACCTTTATACAAAGACATACATTATTTACAAGATGCTAGTATATTATCAATAAAGAAAGTGAAACGTTGGCAGTCGGGAACAGGAACTGCATCACATTGAATTAAAGCCGATTCATATCAGGCAGATTGAAAATGATTACACTGCGTTTGATTCTCTTTGTTTTATGATGTGTTCCATCCAGTCAATGTGTTTTGTTATATCAGTGTAAAACCTGTCTCTGGTTCCATTGTTAAGACCTATAAGGGCCCATCCGGTTCGCCCTGTATCTACGTACATAGGCGACCCCGAGGTCGAATATTTATCACGGTTAAGCTTTCGACTGTAATGTTTCACACACGTATTTCTATCTCCACATGTTTTTTTCCCAGACACCAATTTCATAGAAATACTACGAAGTTTCAGTTTTTGGGGAGATCTGGGGTTATTGGACCTTGCTGTAAGGGCACCCCTAACCCTTGATTTTATCAGCTCTATTGCATGCGTGTCAGAGACAATACAGGGGCGGTTAATGCGGATATCTCCTGGAGGGAGATGTACCAAAGCCACATCATATCGACTTGATCCCCTCCTATACAAGTGGTGCAAAACTATATCTTTTGCATCGTAAAGCAAGGCTTTTCTCTTTCTGCTTTCCCCAATCGCAACTTTGATCCTCGATCCATCCAGGCAATGTGCATGCGTAATAACCCATTCGTTGTGAATACTTGCCCCGTTACATATAGGCGTTCCTTCGGAGTTGAATATCGTTGCATGCCATTTGATCGCCCCATTTCTAGGATTTCTGGAATGAAATAATTAAACCATGTTTAAAAGATGGCATGAGTGATTATTACATTGCATGATACATTGTCATACCGATCATAAAGGTGTTCCTTATTACACATGTAATTCATAGTTTATTTTAAGTATTCTATTCCCACATTTAACCTATTCGACAAACATTTTTGAATTAATTAAAAAGGACATTTTACACAGCGATTAATCTTTACCTGTATCTTTTAAGTTGCTTCCTATCTTCATAATCTGATTGATGTAAGTTGCAACTGAGTGGTCGAGATCTCCTCGTTACAGTTCTACCTGGAACTGAGACGACAGGACGTCTTATGATGGGGCGTCTGTCAATTTGAGGTTGCCTTGGAGCTGGTTGCAGTCTTGGGTCAGGTCTTATAGGTTCGTAAGGTAATTGCCTAGAACCAACTTGTCGCTCTGTGTAAGGTTGTCTTGGATACGTCTCTCGTGGACCAGGTTGTTGTCTAGAATCAGGTTGGAGTTCAGGTTGACGTCTTGGGTCGGGTTGAAATACAGGTTGACGCCTTGGATCAGGTTGACCTCTTGAATCAGGTCTAGGTTCAGGTTGACGTCTTGGATAGGGTTGGCGTTCAGGTTGACGTCTTGTATCTGGCTGAAGTCTTGAATCTGGCTGACGTCTTAGATCTGGTTGGCGTCTTGGATCTGGCTGACCGCTTGGATCGGGTTGACGTCTTGGATCTGGTTGGAGTTCAGGCTGACGCCTTGAATCAGGTTGGCGTTCAGGTTGACGTCTCGGATCTGGCTGACGTCTTGGATCTGGCTGACGCTCAGGTTGACGTCTTGGATCTGGCTGACGCTCAGGTTGACGCCTTGGAGTTGGTTGGAGTTCAGGTTGACGTCTTGGATCTGGCTGTCTTTCAGGTTGACGTCTAGGATCAGGTTGGGGTTCAGGTTGACGTCTTGGATCTGGCTGGCGTTCGGGTTGACGTCTAGCATCAGGTTGACGCTCAGGTTGACGCCTTGGATCTGGCTGGCGTTCAGGTTGACGTCTAGGATCAGGTTGGCGCTCAGGTTGACGTCGTCTTGGATCATATTCCTGTCTCGAATCAGGTCGGGAATCGGGTTGACTTACTCTACAGAGAAAATCCGTTGGGTGCAATTGTGTTATCTGTAAGCAGTTTAAATAGGAAATATTTTATCAAGTTGAAACTTAGCAAACTCTAGGGAAAATCAATGCAACACAGGGAGTGGATTTTAAAAATGATATCTAATATTTTATTTTCATATACTATAAAACTCAAATCGTTTACACACCTGTTCCCCTGCAAGGTTACGTGGGGCTTTACACGTGACGTCAGTAGCATCAGCAATGTGTCTCCTTGCAGAGCCAAGTGACATCCAGTTAAGGAGACAGTCGCACGACCAGGGATTTGCCTTGAGGTGCATTACCCCAGTGTACGTTAACATGCGGGTAACGTTTCCATCGAGATGACGTAGATTGTTATCAACCAATGAGAGGTATTGTAATTGACCTCGATAAACAGGAGAAATTGTAATTTGACTCAGTCTATTTTTCGATAGGTCCAAATATCTTAATTTTGCAACAGGCTCGAAGGCACTGAAGTCTAGATATTGAAGATTGTTTCCTTTCATATTGAGTACCATCAATTTGGGGGTATCGAAGAAAGTCTCTGGTGGTAGATGTGGAATCTGATTCGAATTGAGATTCACTTCTTCAAGTCTTTCCAGTCCAAGGAAAACATTAAACTCAAGTTCAGACACTTGATTCTCTTCGAGATTCAGATGGTGTAGGTAGTTCAAGCCTTCGAACATCCCTGTTTGAAGTGTTCCCATTCTATTGTTATTCATGATAAGGGAACGCAAGCTGGTGAGATCGGTGAACGTATCGCCCCCAATATGTGTTATCTTATTGTGACACAGATTAAGGAATTTTACATAGGGCAAGGCGAGCAGATTTTTCGAGGTCAGGTTCCTGATCTCATTGTACTGAAGATACAACCATGTAATCTTTGATCTCTTATTGGCAACTTCAACAGCGAATCCCTCATCCTGTATGAACTTGATGCTATTATGGTCCAACTTAAGATCCCTCAGTTCTCCCATTCCAAAGAAATTCCTGTATTTTATAGTATTCAGTCGATTGTATGAGATGTCTAATCTATTAACATTTTTCAGTTCTTTCATGGGTCGTGGGTCAACCTCCTGTAGATAGTTATGGGACAAGATCAAAGCCCTGAGGTTTGGAAGCCCTTTGAACATTCCCTCTGACATGGAATCAATCTCATTATTTTCCAAATGGAGTTCTCTGAGTTCATGGAGTGACTCAAATGCGTTATCCTCAATGTTTCTGATCTTATTCGCACTCAAATCCAAGAAAGTGAGTTTTGACAGTGGGGAAAACATATTTCCTGTCAGTGAATGGATGTCATTGCCGGATAGAGAAAGATATATAAGACTTGGTAATTTATCAAATGTCATTGGTCTTACGTTTGCTACGGCATTTCCTTTGATAGACAATTTCTGTAACTTTGACATGTAATAAAACCATTCGGGTCGAATATAATTAATGTTGTTGCGATCCAAATAGAGTTCTCTTAGATTCCGAACACTTTCAAACAGTTCAACAGGGATGTTATCCAGGCGATTGTCAGATAGGTCAAGAACCTCTAAGAGACGAACATTCTGGAAAAGCCCACCGTCCAGTTTCTCAATCTGGTTCTCTTTCAGCTTCAACTTTTTGAGATTTTTAACATCGTAGAATAAAGCTTTCTGAAGATTCCTGATATAATTGTTTGACAAATCCAACTCTTTGAGATTCTCAAGTCCCCGAAACGCCCCTAGTGATATTGCCTTGAGTTTATTGCTTCGAAAGGTCAGTTGTTCCAAATGACGCAGTTCCTCAAAATCGTTTGCTTGGAGAACTTGGACCCTGTTTCCCTCAATGGAAAGTTGTTTGACATTGTCGGCTGTCTTAAATGCATATTTATTGACGGTTGTTATCTGATGGTAGCCACTCCCACCATAGCCGATGTTGTTGATGTTTGGATCATCCCCTTGGACGTCTTCCTGGGATTCACGTGTGGCATCATCCAGTATTGATGTCAAGTCACCATAGATCTCGACACGTGTCACATCTGGAAAAAACATAAACTGTATATGGTGAAATATTGGGCATTTGGGCGTTTATTTCGTTTTGTGAATTGCATCAATAAGGATTTTATTCATTTTGCCACTGCATTTTTCAGTGAGAATAGAACATGCGATGGAAGTCTAATTCGAGATGAAATAGCGGGCTTAGTAGTGCTGATGGGCACAGATGCAAAACATGCAGAAATCCGCTGATTATAACACATCAGAGTATCCAATAGGGCGAACGAGAAGAGTAGTTGTACTACAAGTTGAGTGTGTTTCGGTCAAAAATATTTTATTTGAGTCAATTTTACTTATATCATGTTCATTAAACGCTAGTGAAATCAGAAGGTTATTGAAAAATTGCTAAATTATCATTAAGAGGCTATAGTTTCATGAACATGTTGAATGGCAGTCACCCCCGTGAAATTAGCATTGTCAAGACATCAACAAAACCATTATTAATTTTCTCAACAACCTGGGTATGCTATTCAGTACCACATGCTTTCGAATTTTACGTATCATCTTGCAAATTCAGCCCTATTAAGCGCCATTGACGAGATAAGGTAGGGCATTATATATGGACGTGTTTATGGCTCATTTTGAGAGCATGGTACACCAGGAAGCCTCACCATCTGTTGGAAACATTTATTCCAGTCACAAGCTCTGAACATAAAGTTCACCAACTTACAAATGATCCCTTAGTATACTGGATAAACACTAACAGGCCAGTCTAACTAATCACACAACAATTCCATTCAAGTGGGTATACTAGCCTAACTTTTATGTAGATTTTATGTTTAGTTTTATGTTGTTATCATGTTGGACAAAGTTATTTCACATTTCACATTATATATTAATAGACAAAATTGTTTCAGAGAAAAATACACGGAGGAAAATCTTTGATTTAAGAAGAACAAAACTGTATAATGAATTAATATATGAATTAATTGTGTTGTACTTTAGTTCAGTTGGTATATAATCCTAGATTTTTTCATCCAAGACAAAGTAATAAATCGAGTATACCAATGTTGAGTTGTCTGTGGAATGATGCGCTCAGTTTTATCAATTTTATCAAACAGTCGAAGATATGACATGTATTTTATTTCAGTTTCTATCAAGCACCATGATAAGCACAAATGCTCATTTATCATATTTCTCATTTTGGTCTCCAGGGTGCAATTTTCTGACCAGTTCAATGCCCAAATATAGACATTTATTTTGAGGAACTTCTTGCAGGTGGAATTTTGCTTCCTTTAAGATTCTACAGACTGTTTTACTGTTAAAAGGTTCCTTGTACTTCCTAATTTGTGGTTTGGGATCAATGTATCTAACATAGAATTCAATTTTCTTGGAATCATTGGTTGTACTAAGGGTTCTTTTAAGTGGTGAGGTGAACGTGGTGGGATTGCATGTATTTATTACATATGTTTGAGGGATATCTTGCCTTCATGTAATGTCATGTAATAATATGTTAAAACAGTTTGATTTTCTTGTGATCAGTGTAGAAGACACTAGCCAGAGAAATGGTTTATACCCGGGGTTTATATTTCACATAAAGTGTGTCCTGAACTCTCGTTATGAACATACAACATAACCCTCACGACCATGTCTTTTATGTCTTTGCTGTTACTATTTATGTTCTATTTCCTGCACTTAGCTATTAATTATCAAAGGACCACCATAAATATACCAGACCAAAACAAAGTTAACGTATTATGTCAGCCCCCAACTTAGCGGTGATACATTACATCTGATCCTCCGCAAGAGCACGACCTCATACACATTATGTTCTCGACACGACTCCGAAATTCATTAGAAAATAATGGAATTTTTACTATACACACATTTTCTCCATCCAGTAATATCTCGTCTGACCAGGATCTAATTTGAAGGTCTTGTACCCAACTCTATGGGATTAATCACAGTTCCCACATTAGCAAAGAATGGAGACATGCCAATGGACATCTCACATGAATATTATCAATCATTCCCTTTACAAATAAATTCCTTGTGAATTCGAATACTTGTCATTATGAGCACTCCATTAGTGTCTAAAAGAAGTTTATAAGCGGTGAGGGGATCTGAATTCTGAAATCTAGATTGATAAGTCACAATCAATCCGAGAAGTACTGTGTGTGGTTTGCTGTTATTGTAATATGTCAGAGATCAGTTACAAAATATCTCTGGAAAATCATTTTGAGGTCTAACAAACATTGTGTGTTCACCATCAAGGGATTACTAGTTGATAAGGCGTGGTGATAATTCTATCAAGGGAGTACAATTTGGATAAGGTAATCATGTCTACAGGTTACCTAAATGGGAAAGAGTCGTTTCAGTCAATATTTACCGTCAAAGACATAGATCACATGGACTATATCTACGATGCAAGTGGGAGTAGATACATTCAAGAGGTTTCAAGGGGCAGTGTGAATTTTACAGATTCATAAATATGTCTTCTGAATATAGTGGATAGTTCTATTACAAAAATACCCGATTTATTTCAGGTATTCAGCGTGATAAAAAGTTTGATAAGAAGTGAAATGAAATAAGCTCTTCATTAATTAACTGGTAAAATGTATGTGTTTTAGCTTGTAATAATGGTTCTTGAACGACATGCCAAGTTTTTCTTTGGAAGTTGGATACTTTGTTGAGAAGTTTGGGTTTATTTCTGAAGACTATTTTTCATTGTTCTTTTTGACGTTGATCTTCCTAACCGTTCTGCCAAATACTGCTTAGTTTTTCCTGGTCATTGTGATTGTACCCTGTGGTTCCTGGCCTGCTGCTCTAAAGCTTCCCTCTCGAATTTTTTAAACAGAGTCATCTGTCATTTAGAACATAAAGCACAAGCCTCAGACCACTTAATGTTTTATCTAAGGTGTCCATGGAAAATAGCACACTGGTCAGTAAGACAAAGTGTTTTATGTTCTTCTTGACACCTTATCACATGTGCTGACAGACAGACACTTAACAAAACATGTAAAGACCCTGTAACGATATCATAGCTTTCATGTTTTTTTATGGAAAATACAACACTCGGTTTCTAGAACATGACAATAATACCTCTAAATAAATTATTGACTTGGTAGGCGCAGTAGCCTGTGGTGAAATCTAACCATTTGAAAATATACATGTGTATTTTTGTTTCGGATGCAAGGCCGCGCAACTTACAGAAATATTGTAAATTTTACAGGAAATGTACAAGATTGGAGGAAATAATATATTCAAGTCCGAGGCAGCATTTTCGGAGCTTATCAGCGACCTGTTTGCTTGTTTTAATTAATTACTGTCAATATTATGGAACTTGACGCTAGTTAAGATAATGAAAAAGTCAATCGTCTATTTTAAGTCGACCTTGCGTTGCTACCATAGCATATGGGATTTGATAACATTTATGAAACATATTTCCTTCCTTGATATCAATTCAATGTGATATAACCCCCTGCTTTGCGGTTGTGAATAAGTCACTATGTGTACATTTTCCCCAAATCAAATAGGACAAGAAATAGGACAAGAAATGTTAAGAAAAAGATAAATCCAAGCCAAAATAAGACTAAAATGTCAAATTTTACCAATTGAGATTTCTTAACACATCAAATTTACAAACACTGTAAAAGCAAAGTATATAAGTATATAATTATAGTTATTTAGTTCATATAAACTTTTTAAGTTAGCCTGTTTATAGAACATGTTGACTTTTGACATGATAGACATCCATCAAGAGTCATTTTAATATTTTCTAGTTTGTGCATTTATGCGATGATGGAGTAACATGGGTTTCAGTGCTCTGTTTTAATATAGATCTAACACATTTACATATAAGAAAATGTTCATGAATGAGATCATCTCATCTCTATCATGATCAGTCTATACGACAGCCTATGGCGGATCCGGGGGGGGGGGGGGCATTGGTCATTATTTTTTTAATTTTAGGCCAAATTTTGAAGAAAATGGGCCTCAAATTTTCAAAATTTGGGCCCACTTTTCGGTTTTAGGGGCCCAAAATTTTTTGCAAGCGCGGAGGTTTTTTCTCTGACCTCAAATTTGAGACCCCCCCCCCCTGTTGGTTCCTGGATCCGCCACTGATAGCCATAGTCTACTTTTCAATTTGATATACTAAAGTATTCACTTCTTGAAGGGTTATGCCAAAATATTATTGAAATACATGCATGTGTGCATTCTTTTTGTTTTTGTTTCTTTTTGAAGTGAACCACAGATTATGAAAATAAAACTGAAACAAACCTGAAGATCATTATTTGAAACAGTGTTACTTCTATTGTTAGTTCTTTCTAAGGTTAACTTACCCATGAGAATATAAAGAGCATCAGAATAAGAAAACAAGAAGCTAAGTACATCAAGCATCAAACCGGCAGTTCGATGATGCATTACAAAGGTTATGGTAATTTATATATCCCCATGCCAACATGAATGCCAGAGAAATATTTCCGCTATACCACAAGGAATGAAGTCACTGGAGAAAAAGCGTCTTCCTTATTGTAAAGTAAACCAACCTTGGCACTTTTGTGATGGTACCAAATAAACATTTTAGTTACCATATCAAAGATATATTGAGCAGAGGGGTTCTATTGATATTGAAATAAGTTCATATGATTGTCCTGGAATTGATTCTTGTTTCCAAAGACAGAACAGGATCAGATATTATTCACAAATATAAAGTGCTGAATGTTCCTTTAAAAATTATTCATTTTTTGTTGGCATTGAAAAGCGATTCGTATTGATCGAAGATATATTAGCAAAAAGTTATGTTTTAATAAATAAATTATAGAGTCCCGTATATCTGTATATTTACAAATGCAAAAAGTTGATTTTTATAGAATTTCCCCTTTCTTAGTAACGAACACAACGTTTCCAATAGATCGAAGTCGAAAGTTTCTTTTTCAAAGGAAAATGATCCGAAATCACCATTTAAGATAAAACGGATATACATGACCATAATAATCAGTTTTGTTTACACAAATAAGAATGATGCATCATCTTATTTACA